TTTTTTTTTTTTTTTTTTTTAAAATAACCCCCCACCCCACCCCTGTACAGGCTTGTACATTAGACATTTTCCTTTTTTAATACTAAGATAAGAAACTTAATGAAACAGTGGGCCTTACTTTCTCTATAAACAATGTACATAGACTAGATTACATTTGATTAATTATATCTAATTTAAAAGGTTGAACCCCAATTTTGAGGGCCCTCACTACCCCGTCCCTAGAGTTTTGTGAGAAAGGTAAATCGCGGGATGTGCCCCAATAAGTCAGAGAACAAGATATGCATGTACATTGCACCTATAAGGAGTCCAATTCTATGTCTTAGGAATCAAACTCCCACACTGCGGCTGCCTAATTATATCTAATCTAATTTATATGGTTATATCACAATAGTATGCACCAACAATTATGAAATTTCTTTAATATTTCCTATATTGACAATTTATTATAGTTTCAATTATGTTTAGTATCTAGTAGTTTCTAATATTTGAGTTATATGGTTGAAACTTAGATCTTGTTTGTGATAAATTTCACCGTAAATTAGTGGCAATCTCTAGTGGATGTTCAACGGGTGAGTAATGTTAGGAACACGTGAACACTAAGCCCTTAATAATGAAAAATCCTTCATGTTCTCTTCTTTTAATTTTCACACTTTTAATATGTTTTTGAATGCTCGATAAATACCGAAATGAAACACAACAAAAATTACGAGAAGAACATTTAAATCAATCAATTTGTTGATTTCACCAAAAGTTTTTACTAGTAAACATTACAATGAGTCCACTTGAAGTTTGTCATATGTTTTTAAACCTAAGATGCTACTAAAAGAACTGGTCACGAGCAAGCGTGTCGCCCTGTTTAATGTCATATCTTTCGTACCATTATTGATTTAAAAATAATAAAATATAAATTAATGCAATATGCTTAATTATAAAAAGATGCAATATCGTCCAGATAAAATTTATATAATTTATTTCTCATACACAAAAGTAACAAAATGCAAACGATCATTCTGAAAACAAAATTAACAATGGTGGTATTAGGCTAGCTAACACTCAACACAGACAAACTCTTTGGTCCTACAGAGAAAATGCCCCTTTTATTAAAATGTATTGGGGATTGGTCAATTAGGCATTGGCCACACCCTCAAAAATTTCTTTTTCATGTGTTCTATTTGCTCCTTGATCTGTCCATCATCCTAAGTTATCTTCAGGGCAGAAACTATTGATTGCTGCAGAAATCCAAAAATCCCATGAACTCGTGATTGTTTATCATTCTGATGCTTTTCTCTACCCCGATAACGCCTGCAAGAAATTCCACAAAAAAAAAATAATAATAATAAATAATAAATAAATAATCTCAGTCAAGATGGAGGTAAATATTTCGTAACATTATGCCTAGAATGGAATTCTTGAAGTAATGTTGTACTTACCCATAGTTAGAGCGCTGGCGAAGATGACACCAGAGAGTATAAACACGATGATTGAACTCCGTTTTAGGATGGCAATTAGCTTTCTTACGATGAATTGTCCCCAAAACCCGGCTAAAATTGAAACAGACATGAGGTATAAAGCTGCAAAAAGAAATTTGGATCGACTGTTACTCCTAAGCCAATGTAGAAATAAAGAGCGAAAATGCAAGGGAAAACATACCATAAGGAATGGGAAATCTTTTGAGTAGATAGAATTCGACTACAGATAACGAGGATGAGAACATCATCACAAAAGTTGCAGTCGCACTAGCAACCTGCAAAGTGCATAGACGTTATGGTAGAGTACTGCCTAATACAGATTACCAAACATGCCATAAAAATAAAATCTCTGACCCACTGTAACATGGAACTATGTAACTCTTAGGAAACATGTCTATTAGATTAAAATCGACAATACCTGAGGGATGACACCGATCTCAAGGAGGAGGGGACCAAGAATGAAACCACCACCGGACCCTAACAGGCCACCAACTGTGCCCCCTATGATACCACATAGTGCACACAGTGCCAGATTTGTAGCAGTCCACTGTATATTAGCCTCACATATTGATTCTTGGTTACCGACCAGCCTCCTTCTCTTGCTTTCCTTGTACAGTTTGATGCATTCGTAAAAGAACACCGCAAAAGCAGCTGGGAACTGAATAAAAAGGAACAAAAACATGTTGAGACCTGTTTCATGGGCAAGAAAGAGTATCGACCAAAAAATGTGCCCGAACCTAAGTCTGTATAGAACGTAATGTACCTGTAACAAGTTGAGCACCCAGTACAATGGAGTACAAGCTCTCAAATCATTCTGTAGATCAACATTCATATTAAGTGATCAGCATAAATACGAAAACTTTACGTTACTAGTTTGTTTGATATGTAGTACTAGATATAAAGGGGCAAGAATATCGTTCAAGACTGTTCAATTTGTCTTATCAAAAGTGTCATACAAGTTTAGAAAGGAAAGCTATGCAATTCACTTGCCTTGAACACTTGAAGAAGCAAGAAACAAATCCATACGAGAAGTAGCACTATAATTCTCTTGATGTTAAGGTTGTCCCTCATAATTTGCTGAAAAGAATAAGAATAATGTTTCGACTTTGATAAATAGAAGATAGAAGAGGAGAGTAAAGAAAGGTAGACATGGTTTACCAAAGCCGTTTTCTCCTCTTTCGGGACCAGTGGTTCGTACTCCACATCAATTAGAACTGATACAGAAAAGCAGACGGTCAATTTTTATTTTTTTTACCCAATTCTAAACCCACCAAAAAAATGAAAAAATTTCTTGCTGTATAAAAAATAGCATAAGTTTCCTAGGTACCTACTTTCCCCATTAGAGTTAACAAAAGTTTGTTGCCCCTCTGCCATGGCTTTCTGCAATTACAGGATCCAAAGAGAAGAAACAAACAATAATTAGCAGCATATTTGAGGAACATGTAGTACGGCCATAAATTTCAGGAACTAACCTTCAAAATAGTCTCTTCTTTCCACATCTCAGTTGCCCTAAAAAGAGACCTTGAAGAAGTCCCTATTGCCATATGAACACAATAGTTTAGATTAAAAATATTTCATTTTCAGTCATTTAAGAAACGGTAAATTCTAGTAACATTGCCTACCGATGAACAGAATAATGATTAAGACGGTGATGAGCCAATATGGGAAGACAACACTCAAAGATACTCCAATGGTAATGCCAAGCATGAGCATAGGCTGGAAGAGAAGGGCTAAATCATAGTCAATAATTGGCACTTCTCTGCAGGGATGAGGCACTCTCAAATTGTACCAAACTGATGATGCTGAAGCCCCCATTATCATACCTACATTGAAATTCATGTCAAGCACTCAAATCTTGATTCAAAATAATTGTTTTATGCCTCGATTCTTCAAGTGATTGGAGGCAGATTTTAGTTCTTACATTTGGAAATAGCAGCAGCAGACTTGGTATCAAATCCCACGATTAAAGTAAGCATAGGGACAAAAATGCCGCCTCCGCCTACTCCGCCTACGGTTCCACAAGCCGACCCCAAGAATCCTATCACAGTTGCCAAAACAGCTCTCCAACTAAATTTCAAGTCCTGCCATAACAAAAAAAAAATAATAATAATAACATCTTGATCAAATACAAGAAAATCTTCATATACGAAAGACATAAGCTTAGGTATCGTGACAATTGATATTGGAGAAGACAGACAGACTCCACTGGTTCCAAATCTAACGACTCTAATTGTGTCCCAAATCACTGTCTTAAGAACTGGATTTGTAGGCTTATTACTAACCGGTTTTAAAGATGAGTACACGTTGAATATAAGCATTAGGAACCCAAAAAAAAGTACATGCATCTATAACTCACAGGCCAAACTTTGGATTCATATCCATAGAGATTGGAGTTTGAAGATGAAAGAAGTGACACTTCTGCATAACTTCCATTCGAATGGCTTCTGATGAAATAAACCGACATAATCGCCACGGAAAAGCCCGTCAGCAAATACACCACCAGCCCTTTTGTTGCCATGGCCGCCGCACCGCCTCAAAGTGTTAACTCCTACAGAATTCAAAGGCCAAACTTCCCTCCTTTATGTTACTTTCTGGATCTCCAGAACGAATGAAAGAGCATGTAAAAGTAACACTCATCAAGAAACATTCTACAGTATTTATAATATGGACAATGAATAGAGCATCTATAGACATGTGATTGGATAAGGGCACATGTAACAACAGGTCAGGAATGGCTATCAGCGTCCAAATAGGACAGTGAGTACTAGTGGTGTTTTTCAAGACTACAAGCCCGTCAGCAAAGTTGGAATTCGCAACTTGATATTCATTGAATTGCAAGATTTAGAATAATACTTAATATTTTACGAATTTATTATGTCATTTAGTGGTTACGGTAGGATAGCACGAAGTTTAATTTGAATTGGATAGGTCTATATGATTATAAAAGGGAAAGGAAAGGAAAATAAAATTCAATTCCCAATCTGAATTGGATTTGTATATTAAGAGAAAAAATATTTGTACTTTTTTTAATTCCCTTGTATGCTTCACATTTTTGATCACATTAAACCAAAATCAATAGGACGACGTTAAGAAAGAAAATAAGTTAAAATTTTATTCATTGATACCATTTAATCTTATTAAACATTGTGTACCAAGCGTGTCCCTATAGTATTAAAATTTTAATTTTTAATTTTCATTTTAAATGATTTTGGATTAATTTATTTTGAAAAAAAATCCACAAGGTGATGACTGGTGGAGAAAAATAAATTTATTTGTTTAAAACTTGGATCATAATCCGCTTAAAACAAAAATAAAATAAAATAATAATAATAATAATAATAATAATAATAATAATAATAATAATAATAATAATTCTTACCTAATCTTTAGGTCAAATAAATCAGTCCAATAATGTGCTCAAGCCGTAGAAATGACTCACTTTATTATAAAGTATGTCGGAGTAATAATTTTCAATTTATTAAGAAGAAAGTCTTTTTAATAAAAATTTAAAGACAAATTATTTTATTTACTTCAGCTCCCAATAAAAACAAATAAATTTCTCCATTTTATTGTTTGCTTTGTGTGAATATAAATTCTACCAATAGTAAAGAGTAAAATTGGCATAACGAGAAAAAAAATTTGCATCCAAAATGTAATTAAAATGTTGGTAAAATTAATTATTCAAGAAGCTGAGTTATTCTACCAAACATAGATAAGCAACAGCGGGGCCAAACTAATTAAGTAACCTTTGTACCCATTCGTTAATTTCACACGTTAATTGAATGTGGTACAATGGAACAAATATATCCAACCCCATATATCCAAGTGCAGGATCTTCATTGAAGCTTTGCACATAAACAGAGCCGATCTTGTGATTGTCGGGGCCCGAGACGAAGTCCAAAAATTAAGCACTCATAATCAATGTAAATGCAAAATTTAACAGTCTATTATGTAACATATTGCCAACTTAAAAGTTAATATTAAAAAAAAAATATCTCAATCATCTCACAATTAATGAAAAAAAAACTACTTTCATTTTCCTTCTTTTAATATTAAAAAAAAAAAAAAACTTTTGGACCAAAATAGGCCCTCTATGATTTTGGGCCTGAGGCACAAGTCTCATTTGCCTGGCCACAGGATCAACTCTAAACATAAATTTTGATAATTTCTCATGTTCCCTTTTTCTTTTCTTTTTTTTTCTTTTTTCTTTTTCTTTTTTTTTGGGGCGGGGGGGGGGGGGGTTTTGGGGGGGGGGGGGGGGGGGGGGTTTTTTTAGTTTCTACTTTTTTGGTTTTTTTTTTTTTAATAAAACAATATCCAAGTTAAGAGTGTCTTGCAATTGTTATGCTATCTTTTAAAAAAAATAAAATAATAAAATAATTGTTAATTGCGAAGTTCTTTACGTTTGACCTCTTTTTCTACTATCTATAACGTCACATTTTGTTTTCTCCAAAGTGAGGAGAAAGGGAAAAAGAAAAGTAAAGAACAAGGCAAAGCAAAACAAAAAGGAAACAAGAACGAAAAAGAACACTCCCTGGTTCGGTTCCTTGCCTTTCTCTTTAGTCGGTCGTGACAATTTGAATTATTGAAATTGGCTTAATCCAGTAGAAATTTTTTTTTTTTTTGTCCCTCTTGGCTCCATGTCTAGGCTTAGCCATGAAGTATTTCTATGTAGATTCTATTGCAAAAGTTTGCTCCAAAGATCGTCAAAATGGTGTTTTTTTGGTTCAGTCCAACGTTACCTTTCTCCACTAAATAACCAATCCAGCTGACTCGATCCACAACCTATATATTTACCTCGACTGCTTCTCAATTTCACCCCCAAAGGATAAAATGATGGTGATGATATATAATCACAAAGGCAAGAAGAAAACACAACAAAGGCAGGGAAGAAAGAGACCAAAAACACAAAGTTTATCACCGATTTTGGCACCACAAAGGTGGCTGGATTTCTCTACAAAGGGCAGCCATTTTTCTCCACTTTTCTCTCAAACAAATCATACACAAAATGGCTAAGGTTAAAACCATATAAATAGGGTTAGGTAAGACTTTTAATTGGACCAATAACAAAGTTAAATGGGCCAAGATTCAAAGTCATCCAAGAGAGAATATAATTGGACCTGGTAGAGCCTTTGGACTTGGTTATTTATTGTAATGTCCCGAAATCTTTTTCATCTTCATTATTTTATTCTTTTATAAAAATAGGCCCGAACTACTACCAAAATCTTTTTCATCTTATTTAAGCGGAAATATCACTTTTATTACGTGTTGAAATTTGAAAATGTGATCAATAATTCGATAACGATAAAAATAAGGACTTAGGTAAAATTTTCATATTAAATATAATTCTTGAAATACTCCATTCTAAACTATTAGTTTAATATTAATATAAAATGTCAAATACTAGATCTCTAAAAATATTAAATAACGTGCATTAACATAAAGATCTTATTCAAATAAAAGTTGACAATGATATTTTCTGAAAACATTACTTGGCGACCCCATAAGTATCACTCGACTAATCTTTCACGCGTCCACATGACTTGTTCTCATCTGAAAAGTTATTATAAGAGTGAGTATTTTGAAAACACTCAATAAGAATACGTGCACATTTTAATTAACATGATATAAATATAAAACTGACATAATATACTGACTTTTTTTAGATTTAGAGTTCAAGAAATTTATTAAGAATTCCTATATCCCGTAAGATTTAACATACTTGACCCAAATGTCCATTTCGTAGGATTTAACATACTTGACCGAACGGTCTATCTCGAAGAATTTAACATAGAATTCGACCTGAAGGCCTTATAGTATTTAATGCCAAAATTTTATATAAATATCAAGAAATAAGAATTTACCACTTTGCACGTTATATTCTTACCTCAATTTGATACTAAATAAATCTGAACATGGCTTGTGAGTAAAATAATATCTTTTTTTTTTAATGTGTGATTTCACTTGTGACGGTGTATATATAAAAGGTGAAAAAAACACTTCTCACACCTTTTATATATATAAAGCCTATTTGGAAATGATTTTGAGAATTGATTTTCTGAACATTAGGAAAAAAGTTGGGTCCACCTGTGAGAGAAAAAGTCAAATATAATGACTGAAATAGTAAAATAACGGTCAAAAAATCAATTTTTTTGGTGAAAAAATGGGCCCAAACAGGCCCACAATATTCACTTACCATTAACTATAGATACAAACCATCACACGATCGGGAAGATTCAATAGGTTAATTAACATATTCTTTATTTTAACATATTCTTTATTTTAAATCAATCATAGTAAGTGTGGAAATCAGTATTCATTGATGGGACGGTTGTGTAAAAGTTGAAAAGTTTAATTTAATATATTAATTAAAAAATGATTGAATTCACAGTTTTCAATTTCCAAGAAACGGCCATTCTCTTATTCTACTATTTTATATATATGTTTTTTTTTTATTGATAACTCGAATATGGCTAGTTCAAAATAATTTCTTCTTGACTCAATTTATGTTATTTAGCACGAACTATAAAATGAGTATAATATCGATATATTTTTATCAACTTTTAAAATACATAAATATTTGACCCAAATAACTTACGATAATTTCAAAAATTATACTTATGCAAAATAAATCATTTATACAAATAAATGGGTCGTGTTTATCACTTCAACTTCCGGACTTTTCGTGTGACGACAAATCTAGACATGGACTGTTTCATTTGCTAAATGATCAATATTAAGTTTAGGTCCATATGAAAAATAGTAAGAAAAATCGGGGTGTTACATTTGTACTTATTTCACTCATCAGTCGAGGTTTATGAAATATATATTTTTATGTTAACATCATATCCCGAAATTTATTGAGTATTAAAACTCAACAAATCTCTACCTTGATACTCAATAAACCTACAAGCAATCAAAATACACAGTTATTACTTGCACAATCAAGGTAGCCAATAAAATTAAAATC